CCTGTATATTAGATGGCACTTTGCATGTATGATTCTTTTAGCAATATTATAAAAGACCGTTTCTGTGTGCTGATATATATATGCATGTGTGGGATATACCGCTGAAACAAAGCCGAATATAAGATAGGAGCCATTCGCGGCTAACGATAAACAGTGCTTGTAATTCAACTTTATTCTATTTACGAAAATAGCAATGAATTATCATAGATCATGATAAATTAAACATAGTAGAATGTGTGCACGATATAAATTTGTTGAATGTGTATAGTTCAGCTGCTTTTTCGTTTTTTGTAATTTGTACTTTGTAGATACACAAAGCTTTCGATCCGTGATCGAGGCCTACAGAGTATAAATTATATTTTTTTCACCATGCAAACATGCAAAGAACTTATTCGTTTTTTAAAATGTTTTTTATGATTGCCGTTCGCGTTCCCACTTCCGTTCCCATTCCCACTTCCGTTCCCACTTCCGTTCCCATTCCCCGTTCCCATTCCCCGTTCCCATTCCCCGTTCCCATTCCCCGTTCCCATTCCCATTCCCATTCCCCATTCCCATTCCCCATTCCCATTCCCCGTTCCCATTCCCATTCCCCGTTCCCATTCCCCGATTCCCCGTTCCTTGTTTTAAAGATAGCCATTAGATTGTTGCTTCCGATGTTTGCTTGTTACACTGTTGCGTTGACACTAATGAGTAATGACCGGAACCATGCTATATATGGACACAATGTGAGACGAACTTTGTTTTTGAAATAGGATTAGATTTTTGCTTCCGATGTTTGCTTGTTACATTTGCTGAACTGTGTCTTTTTGGTAAATTGCAAGTTTCTAACTCAGTTTGCGGCTCGCTGTGTCATAATATTAATGAATTCCGAACTTTGAACTGACTAAAGTATATTATAACCTTGTCGAATCGTGTTCGGTCTGTATGGGCCTGTAAAGACACCGTTCAACCTTTTTGTGATGGTTTTAAGGTGCATTTCAGCCCTTATAGTCTAAGTAGGAAAATTAATTATACATAATTATCACAGAAGGCCCAGGGATTCCTGGGCCTTCTGTGATAAAATAAACATATATTTTCCAGGTTATTTAGTTCTACTTAAATGAAGTATCTCGTAATTATTTTTAAAATGGCCTCCAGGATGCAATGTTTGATATTATAAAGTTGTGACTTTATAAACTGACTTTTATAGTTGTCTGGCTGCCTCCTTTATATTTGCATAATTTTGAGGTTTAATTTTATAAAACGCCTTTCAAGTTGACGAATCCCAGCGAACGTAAGTTTCTACTTTTTATAATATAAATTCTATCGAAATAGGTGATGCCCTTTGACAAATATAGGCACCATGACCATGTGTCAACTTCTAGCTCAAGAAGCCAAATGTTTTGTTGATATTTCAGCACTGGCCTGTTACGCGCCGCTTACGGCAAAACCATGGCTAGTAGTTTAACTTGTAGGCTTATATCATCTTTATATGACTATAAAATCATATAAACAAGGCCATTAATTTATTTAAACCTGCTGTTTTCTCATAGTTTGTGATACCTACATTCTACACGTCTGTTTTCTGTTTATTTCAAAACTTAGTAAAGTAAACTATCGATCCGGACAGACAATTAAAAAAGAAGTGTATGAAACCAGTCATGGTATTTACTATTTTTGAAAGGTTTATTAACATAATGTTAAGCTTAAAAATTATATATATATATATATATATATATATATATATATATATATATATATATATATATATATATATATATATATATATATATATATGTATATATATATATAATATTTGCTGTGTTGGTGTAATGTACTCAGCTAGGTGAATAAAATGCTTGTGTGATGTTACTCTGAGTGTATATCCACACCGGGCAGACTTGAAAAATATTCCTGGCCACAGTAAGATTCGAACCTACGACTTTTGGAATACTAGCCCAATGCTCTGCCAACTGAGCTACATGGTCAGGTCGGTTAGAGTATGCAATATTTCGGAACTGAGTCCAGTTCCTTTGATATTAGTGTAATCTAATAATCATGACATTTGCTGTATTGGTGTATTGTACTCAGGTGAATAAGGTGCTTGTGTGATGTTACTCTAAGTGTATATCCACACCGGGCAGACTTGAAAAATATGCCTGGCCACAGTCAAGATTCGAATCTACGACCTTTGAAATACTAGCCGAATGCTGTGCCAACTGAGCTACGCGGTCAGGCCAGTTCGAGTATGACATATTTCGGAACTGAGCCTAATTCCTTCGATACCATTGTAATCTAATAATCATGATATTCAGTCCTCATGCACAATTTAGATAAATCTTGGTGGCAAAAAATTGCCGCCGATATTTCGAAGTTTGGCGGCAGTTCTTCAGGGGCAATTTTTTGTCACTATAAATTAATTTTAACACTTTGACAGAAAACAGAATTATTTTATATTTAGTATTCTCTTCACTTTACTAATTAAAAGTGTTTGATATTCAAGGAAACCTTGTTTCATACACAATAACATTGAAACCAGCTATCACTCTTTTAGTTTTACCTTCGTTACCGCACTATACGGACGTTCTAAAATTGTATGTATGTTTGAACTTGAAGTCCTAGAACTTTCAATGTATTTTAAAATAACCCACAAAAATTAAAGTGTTCACAAAAGAATAGCTCACTTTCTCGAATTATTTTCTAATCATATGTTGATACTTGGAAAAAATAATCGAATTGAGAATGCAGTGAAGCATCATCAGTGGACGACACAAAAATTTGTTGGCGGGACCTAAAGTTGTATTTTTTCTTGCTGTTCCTGGTTATTGGAACAAATGTATATAGATTTTCACTAATAAATTCATTAAAAGCCTATTATTTTTTACTAACATTTTCCAGACATTAAAGGCCCTGCATGTGAGTATGCATGGGCTACCAGTCATTACAAATTCATGCCTGTAAGTGAGATTCACACCCTACCTCGTACATTTTAAAGACATGGCTATAATATGTATAAGGATGAGAATATGTGTAAAGATTGTAGTGCGCTGGTTTTCCTTTTCAAAATTCCCATTGTTCTAAAAACATGTATATTTTGCCATTTAACTGAGTTTACATGTGTGTTATTTTTTGCAATAGCTCTCCTTTACACCTGGACATGGAAATAAGAGAAGTACCAGCTTCTTTCAAATCTCTAAATATGACTGGTCATCAAGTGATGGCCTATTCAGAGATATTGTAGCACCTGCTGATGAACATGAATGGGCAAAAAAGTGCAACGAAATATTGGACAAAATTACTCATGGTGAAACAGTTTCCAATGAAGGTCAAGAAGGTTGTGGACCTGATCAGACAGTAACTCAGCCTGATCAGACAGTAACTGATGCAAATACCTTAGTTGATAGTACAGACCTCACGCTCGGTCAATAGACCAATTAGTGGCCGCGCCTTCATACTGCACAAGAACGAGGCTTATTATGAAAAAACAAAACAATGTCTATATTTTTATAGAGCGTAAAGTGAATTTTAGGGTTTTTAAAGTGTGTTTTCTAGAATCCATTTGATTTTTAAAGTTAAAATCGAAAATTTGCTATTATATTACAACTCAAACAAAATTAATCAATGCTACAACTTATTCTTTGAAATATATTAATAAAACAGACGGAAAATAGCTGATTCTTTCTCTTGTATAATCTGCTTCTTTTATCGGACGGCGAAAAACAGAAAAACTTTGTCTCGCATGCCGCGAAAAACAATGAAATTTGAAGTAAGACTAAATCTATGACCAAGTTTAATATAGATTTACATAGTCAAAACAAAAATATTGAAAAAAAATGAAGAGATTACCGTAAAAACGCGTCTCAAACACCAAAATTTATTTTTCGGCATATAAAAATATAGCAGAATGATTTGTTTTTGCCTAATAAGCCTCGTATTCGTGCAGTTTAAGGCGCGGTCACTAAGTTTTGCAATTGGTCTATAAGCCTTTATTATTCATTACTATTCAATAATGACGCTAATTTTGTAATTGTACATTTTTTCTGTGTTCTTCAAACACTTCATCTATAAGAAATATAGAAACTACTATGTCGTTAATATTTATTTGAGACTTTGTAACACTTGTATTATCACTTATTTTATTATTATGTTTCACTTATATTTGTATTACACAAAGTAATCTGAATTCCAGACGCTTGTATATCTTGCATCCAGATTTACGGATGTCTGAATTTCAGACGCGCCTATATTTTGTATCCACATATAGGTCTGTCTGAATTTCAGACACCAGTATATTTTGTGCTCAGATATACGGCTGTCTGAATTTCAGACGTGCCTATATTTTGCATCCACATATAGGTCTGTCTGAAATTCAGACACCAGTATATTTCGTATCCAGATATAGGGGTGTCTGAAATTTAGACACTCCTATGTCAGGAAACAAGATATACCGGTGTCTGAATTTCAGACGCGCCTATATTTTGCATCCACATATAGGTCTGTCTGAAATTCAGACACCAGTATATTTCGTATCCAGATATAGGGGTGTCTGAAATTTAGACACTCCTATGTCAGGAAACAAGATATACCGGTGTCTGAATTTCAGACGCGCCTATATTTTGCATCCACATATAGGTCTGTCTGAATTTCAGACACCAGTATATTTTGTGCTCAGATATACGGATGTCTGAATTTCAGACGTGCCTATATTTTGCATCCACATATAGGTCTGTCTGAAATTCAGACACCAGGATATTTCGTATCCAGATATCCCCTATATCAGGATGCAAGATATACCGGTGTCTGAATTTCAGACGCGCCTATATTTTGCATCCACATATAGGTCTGTCTGAAATTCAGCCACCAGTATATTTTGTGCTCAGCTTATCGTATTGTGGAATCTTGATTTGATAGAAAAAGGAAGTTCTTGCAGACAATCAAATGGTGTCTGCCAAAAACAGCTTATTTCTTTAAAAAAACCCATCACGCTGCGGATTTTTGTTAATTTCATGAAAATGTGCGGAAAATCACAAGTTTGGAATTGTTCAAAATTCTTTGGAACGCGTTATTGCATCAGCACAGAAAATATCATTTGCTATAACATTGACATGTATACAGTACTTTTATATATGTGACTTGTTTAAAATGCAGTCACATTAATGGCATATAGACAGCATTGCAATAGCGCATCTCGGCATCTCCCAATATTACCCAGTGCATTGCATGTGCTTGCTATGCCTATGGTAACCCTCCTATCGGTCAGCCTAAAACATGTGAAAAGGGCTGCTTATATAGAGGCGAACCAACCCAGGTAACTTGGCTATAGCTTGCTTTCCCCGGACGAATGTCTATTTACATGTCTTATGGGCCTCTCTAGATGGGCTCATGGGCTACGCTCGCCAAAACAAATCACCCAGACTGAGTTGTGTAATAGCAGCACATTTTCAAATAAAGTAAATCAACATCATACTTTTGCAAACAGTTTCGAAATGTAACTGACAAAAACAATCACAGACTGATATCTTTTAATGTTGAAATTGATTGGGAAATGTCATTTTATTAGAAGATTGCATGTAAAATTTAACTAATGGACTTGCATGACATGCTTGATTGAACAGTCACACTACATGCATATTTTACATCTTGTAAATATTCTACATTGAACAGAATGTTAACCCTTTATGTGACAATTTTACTCATGAAGGAGAGAGGCTGTCATTCAATGGGTTAAAGCCTTTCTTTAATTAAATGGAAATTTTGAACAATAAATATGTAATATATACATTTATTACTGTACCGGGAATGGAACCTTCTGCCCTGTGATTCTGAACAGCTCTTTAACAGCCGAGAGACACTCAAGCCCTGAGAGTCCAAGCCCCAAGAGTCCATCAAGCTAATTAGAGTTCATGTATATATGAATTGTAAATGTTCACAGTAAAATTTTAAGCAGAACAGCATGAAGCTTTTTATTTAGGTTTGGAGAATACATTTTTGCAGTGTGCATGTATGCATGTGTAAATATTTATCTCCTTTTGATTTTTGTAGAGTTGGAAAACCGCTGTATTCTTACAGCATTTGCCTTTGAAAAGGCAGCAAGCAAACAATTCCAGGGGAGCTATTTTTCGAAGTTGTGAATGTAAGTCAATTTTGTATATTTTATGCCATTTAGCTGATTAGTGATGTCAGAACTTAACCCTTTAAGCTGCAGTGCTTCTCTATTGACAAGCAAAATCATCTGGCATTAGACAAGTAGAAAAAAATGTAGGGCATGCTGGAGTGCATTGCGGCTTAATGGGTTAACTATAGACATTGTCAGATTTTTTGGTTAAAAACCCATTAAGCTGCAGAGCTTCCCTATTGACGAGTAAAATCGTCTGGCATTAGACAAGTTAAAGGGGAAGTCAAGTCCGTAATGTAAACAAACGGTTTGTTTACATTTTGAACTGCTGTATTTTTTAAAATATGATGTACTGTCTGAATATCTAACACCATTTTGGTTCGCTATACTTCTAAATGAGTATGAAATAGAGTTTATGTTCAGAAAAATTCGAAATTTGGGCAATGTTCACATTAGAGGTCCTCACATTGTTATGAGCAGAACCGATGCGCAGAACGGACTTGACTTCCCCTTTAAAAAAAACAAGTAGGGCGCGCTGGTTGTTGTGCAGTACAGTTGCAACATGCATGCACATACATAGGCTACCTGGATATATTTGGTAGTGATGTTAAGTTTCCTTACAGTAAGATCCTTAATGTTGCATGCATATAGAATATATTCTCATTTTTTGTTTGCAGAGTGATTTTGAAATTCAGCATACTGAGAGAATAAAGGCGTGTTCAACACCGCTATTGGCAACCGGATCTCTACAAGAGATAAGTTCACTTACCCTCATTGCAGAGGGCATATGGTATAGTTGCCATATTAAGAGGTCGAAGTACTATAATCAGCACTATTACATGCTTATCAGCAGCGTACCGTAAACCTCCGAATATAAGCCCCCCCCGAATATAAGCCCCCTGTGTATAAGCCCACCACATGTACTAACGCTCACCTCATTCCAAATATAAGCCCCCCCCCCCGAATATAAGCCCACTTGTTTATCAGTTATCACCATTTATTGTTTATCACTATTTTATTTTATTTTATTTTACAGATTTTGCCATTTAACACAAACTATTACACAAAATTAGTTAACACAAACTATTACACACAATTGGTTACATGGCTGGAATTACCACACAGAGATTAGTTCTCCAATAACGGGGTTCCAAGACATTCGAAATACACAGTATGAACAATAACAGGCTTGCAGACCGACAGACAGACAGACAGACAGACAGACAGGCAGACAGGCAGACAGACAGACAGACAGACAGACAGACAGACAGACAGACAGACAGACAGACAGACAGACAGACAGACAGACAGACAGACAGACAGACAGACAGATCAACAAACAAGCACAACGAATTACACTAATCAACGACTTACAATTTATGTGACAATAAATTAACAACATGCTCGATTCGACAAGTTAGTCAATGGGCGAGTTGAATGACACTTCACACAAACAGACTTAAATGTTCTCGGGTCCTCAGGATTATAAATTTCCCTGGTGAGATCCTTATAATGTTGCATTAAACAAAATTTGAAAGAGACAACAGTTTTGTTGGTTTCTCTGATCAAACAGGGGAGTGTATTCCACACGTTGGCAACTCTGACGTAGAAGCTGTTTTGGTAGCTCACTGTCTTGCACTTGGCTACTTCAAGCAAGATACCATTGGTTGCATTAGTACTTCGTGTTTCTCGAGTGGGAATCTTGATAGAAATGTTACTGTCAGAGTTGGAAATGATGCACTTGTAGAGATACACTAGATCTAAATACTCGTGCCAGTAACATATAGGGATGATGCCGATTGTGGCCAGTCTTTCCTGGTATGATATATCGGTTTGGTACGGCAATGACAAAATAAATTTGGTGGCACGTCGCTGCACACGTTCAACGGTCAAGATGTTGTTTACCGTCTGGGGTGCCCATACCTGACTACCATAAGCCAGCTGACTACGAACCATAGTCAAATAAAGTACCTTACGAACTCTACGCTGGCGAATGTCGAACGCCGTTCGCTTTACGAAACCTAACATTTTATTTGCTTTGGTCGATATCTCTTGCACCTGTTTGTTCCATTTAAGGTCGTTAGTGGTAGTTATGCCTAGATCTTTCTGACTGGATGATTGTAGGACTGGAGTGTCTGATATTGTGTACTGTGTAATCATCGGTTGAGCAATTCTTGAGAAATGCATGACTACACACTTGGTTTGGTTTAAGTCCATCCTCCAGTCACTACACCAGTTGGCAACACTATCCAGATCTTGCTGCAGAATTATGGTGTCTTGGAAATTTCGAAAATGACGGTGGCATTTTGTGTCATCAGCGAACATTGACACGGTAGTATCGTGCGAGGTAGACATAGGAAGGTCGTTCACGTAGATGAGGAAAAGGAGTGGTCCAAGGATTGATCCCTGAGGAACTCCAGGAAGCACTGGAAGTGGTTCAGATGTTACACCAAGAACAATGACTCTCTATAATCGCCCAGAAAGATAGTCCCCGAACCAGCGAAGAAGATTTCCTCGGATGCCAAAATTGTGAAGCTTCACGAGTAAGAGATCATGGCTGACTTTGTCGAAAGCTTTCGCGAAATCAAGATAGATAGTGTCAACTTGGCCCCTTTTCTCTAAGACATTATGAATCTCGTGAAGAACATAGAGCATCTGGGCAGTTGTAGACTTGCCGCTTTGAAAACCGTATTGAAGATCATAAAGTTGACTTGAGAGGTGGCCAATAATTCTATTGTAGATGCAACGTTCAAACACCTTGGAGACCAGCGACAAAAGTGATATTGGTCTATAGTTGCAAACTTCATGGAAAGGATTTTTCTTTGGAATTGGACTGATATTAGACAACTTCCACTCCAACGGCAGTTTTCCACAAGATAAACTCTTGTTGAAAAGTTCGCATAAAGATGGACTGATGTTAGCTGTGCAGGTTTTTAGCAATACCGCCAGAATTTTGTCAGCACCAGTGGCTTTGTCTACGTCGAGAGTTTTAAGTACACAACAAACTTCTCCTTCAGCTAACTCGAGATCTGAAATGGTTATTAGATTAATCGAATCGTCGTCAGCAGGAAGAGGGCTGTGATGAGCGGCATCACATGGTTTAAACACGGAGTAGAAGTAGCGATTTAGCAGGTTAGCTATGTCGATTGGATTTTCAGCTGTTGTGGGAGAAGAGTCTTGTTGGGTCCATGTCATTTTTCCAGGAATGTTCGAGCGTTTGGAAGTGGCTTTAAACACTGACCAGAACTTTTTGCTGTTTGATTTTAACAGTGTTGGAAGAGATTGAAA